ATACGTGAACAATGACTAGGCTTTGTCCGTACGTGAACAATGACTAGGCTTTGTGCGTACGTGAACAATGACTGGGCTTTGTTCATACGTGAACAATGACTAGGCTTTGTCCGTACGTGAACAATGACTAAACTTTGTCCGTACCCGTCGACGGAATATATTAAACGGGCTGAATATAGCTAGTGGCGTGCCCAAGGGTAAATCTCGGGACAAGTTTTCTTGCTGATTCACATGACAACTGTCTATTAAAGTGAATTAATACACGGCATTGATTTTGATACAGCACGTCGGTAGCACAGGGAAAGCAGGCTACTGGATGAACACCAGTGGATGAATTATGTTCAAGACTAAAGTATACTTGCTGGGCGGTGAGTAAGTTTTGTGGTGGTCTTATTGGCATTTCGCGGTTGATAGGTTGATAGAACCAAACCCAAACCTCTAGGGAATCATAGGTATACTTGCCGATCAGTGACTACTAGAAATTTGTTTTAGCTCATTATGCCGCGCCTTCTATTTGTTGAGTTATAATTTAACTATTCCAAAGTTTGAATTCATTGCCGAATATGGCCTTTAAATTGTGGATTTTTTTTGGGTGGGGGGGGGGGGTACTGTGAATTTTGGATTTCGGATTTGGATGTGAAATTGTGGATGGAAGTGGCCTCCATAACTTGTTTCAAATGATACCACTTGTTGACCGCATCAATATGCTGACCGTACCGCTCAGGGTACGGCTATGTCCTTAAATTTCTTCGACTTATTTGCGTTTCTAGCTTCCGTTGATGTCCGTCCTCTCGAGTAATTGTTTTCAATTTATAAGGGCTGTCCTTGTCCACCTTATTACCCCTTAGTATTTTCTGTTGTGATCATATTCCCTCTTTTACTTCTGTCCTCAAGGATTGTGAGATCTAGTCACCATTAACTCATCATTATAGCTTAATCATATGAGCTCTGGCACTAATCTTGTTGGAAACCTTTGTACTTTTTGAATTATGGTTTCTTGCTTCTCGAGGTGTGGATTCTATGGCGATGCTGCACATTCCAGCATTTAACAAAAGTTGTATAAATTGCATTGAAAGAGTCCCGATTTAGTTTTCTAAATGATGTTCTAATGTTTTGCCAGCGTAATATGCTATCGGTATTACCCCCTGTTTATGTGTACCTTCGTTGATAGTATTGGAATTATATCCACTCTCAAATCTTTCCATATTTTTCGATTTCTGTGGAGGCCTTCCCTTTACGATGTAGATGCCTTCTGGTCTCCTTTCTCCCTTTTCCAGCTATATTACCTTAGATTTCTCGGAATTGTATTCCAGAAACCCTTTTTTATGCTCACATCTGGAGTTTGTCAAGGTCTTCTTCTAATTGACTTTAGTCCTCTGTTTTTTGCATTACTCATCAGCTGTGCATCATCTGCAAACATTTACATATACAGCTCGCTCCCTTCAGTAAACAATTCACATAAATTAGGAACAATAGCTGTCTTTGGACAGAGCCTTGGGGACCCCATCCGTTTATTCTTCCAGCTCGAAACCTCTCTGGAGGAGGTTTCTATTGACTGACTGAAGTTTCTATGACTGTTTTCTGTTCTTCAGATACTCCTTTGTCCAGTGTGTCCCCAGTTATTCCAGCATGACTCTCCATCTTGTATGTACACCAGCCTTTCATGAGAAAAAGTATCAAATGCTTTTTGACAGTTTAGGAAATTACAGCCTCTTTATTTCTCTTTATTTTTAGAACTCAATTACGTTGGTTAAGTACGACTTTCGCTTTCTAAATCCACGTTGCCTTTTTGTCACAAAGTTGGTCTTTTCCAGGTGCTGCACTCTTCCTAACCTTTCTCCAGCACTTGACACGACATACTTGTCAATGACACTGATCTGTAATTTAGTGCCTCCTGTCTGTCTTATTTTCCTTCCTATCTTTCCTTTTCCCTCTTAATTGTTACTATACATTCTAACTACGCCAACAGGTAATTTAAATCTGGCTTGCACTAAATTCATAAGGCTCATCACTCTCGGCATAAACCACTGACAGACATTGATGAGTACCTCCTGTCATGCGATGTCTTGGAAGATGCCTCGGAGAATGCCAGTACCGTGGCTCGGAAAATTGACGGTGTCGCCGCGTGGCGACAATTGACGGTGAGCTGCTCCGCTATGCGGGGGTGGGGTTGGGGGGGGCAGGAAGATTCACCTGTCTTACATTTTAAATTTACATTATTTATCTCGCGCTATTTCACCAGTTTAACAAGGCACTTAAAACTAATTATTCCCTATTTCATCCAATAATCATTTCACTTTTAAAATTTCGTGTCACTTGTCCACTCTCTCGCCTCACTTTTGACAGCTATATCCCTTTGCTTCTCCACTATTCACACCATTTCTCGGATTTTGTAACTACACTTAACTGCTCCTGTCTGTCAAAGTTGTTCAACAAAAATCGCTAACCTAATGGCGGCCTGAACACTGAACACAGGTCAGCGTCTGAACACTGAACACAGGTCAGCGTCTGAACACTGGGTGGTGACGTGCAATGCTGAGGCGCTGGAATGGAAAACTGGTTGTTCTTGGGGTCTTTTCTTTCATAAAGAGTCTATATCACAATCATTCAAGAACCTGAGTGCACTTTTACCCTATAAACCTAATGTCTCTGAGCCAATGACGGTTGAGCTGTGCGAGTTCAATCAATCACAGTGTGCTGTCTACACCATAAAGATGTACAAAAAAATCTGATTAGCTGATTAGAATCTTTAGTGATTGGTTATCACAAGAAAGGACGTCGCATACAATGTGGAGCTTTAGCGAGGACGTGTTCTTACTATATCTTCAATCTTCAATCCAATCAATTGAGAAGTGGAACAATATTGAAGAATGTGACGGCGGGAATCGTCAGCTATCGTAATTGAGGTAGTGACATCATGGGTTGATGCAACAAGCAACTAATTCAGGAATGGAAGCTCCATATCAACTACTCGAGATGCTTGGTCAATGAAGAGGGTAGAAATAGCCTAAGCTACTCTATCCCTTTGAGATGTCATTTTATTTGTCTCAATAAACGTACTTGAACTTGAAATGGTCAACGAAGGAGGGATTTATGGCGAGAAAACAACGATTAAACCCCAGCTGGAAGACCACTGGTTCGTTTATCGTGGACTAGCCATCCACCACTGGTGAGTTACAACACTGGGAATGATTGCGTGTCCTTGGTCGCGCAACTGCTGGTCAAGAGGGAAGTCCCCGTCTAGTGGTTGAATATTCAACGACTTTATTCCCCAGGCGAGCCATCATTAGAGGCATATTGCCCACCAACATTGCCAGCGAGATCAAACATATGTATGTATATATTATACTGAACAGAATATACTCTGATATACATGCAGACGATGAGTCACAATAACGTGGCTGAAGATATGACTACTAAACCATACACCAGTAGATGAGGAAACGACGTTTCGGTCCGTCCTGGACCATTATTAAGTCGATTGTCTTGATAATCAACTTAATAATGCAATTATCGGACAAGAAATGCCGCAAATGCTTGTTATAATAAGTAGTTCGTGGTAATTTCAAACTGGCCCATATAATCTGTGTAGCTTACTAAGTTTTTGTGTTTTTCAAGCCTTGTGTGTTGCTTAAATGTTTATCATATTGATTAGTTGCTGCTCTACATCATGTTTTATACGTTTTTAAAACCAGTTTTGTTGTAGTGCCAATAAAATAAATATGTTTATTATTATCGATCATTTACTTTTTATTCCTGTGAATGGTTGTCGTAGGGGCCGCAGCACTCTGGTTTACCCAGCGGTCTATAAGGCTGTTAAGACGGCCTTGAAATGGTGGGGACATGATCACAACATATTAGATACGGAAAGGCATTAAGAAGGTAAAAGGGCAGCCTCTTTAAGAATGAAAAAGTAGAAGACATAAGTGGACGCTGGAAACGCAAATGAGTCAAATAAATATAAGAAAATACTCATACCCCTGTACGGGTGGTCAACAGGGGGAATTCGAGCGTTAAATTAGTTAAATTACAATCTAACAAGTACAACGAGGTTATTAGGTGAGAAATAAAGAGCTCACTTTCCATATAGTCACTGTTAAGAAAGCACTGCGAGCACATATATAAATATAGGATCACAGCTGCATGGCAAAAGTCGGATACAAGAACCTAAATAAGGAGACAGTTAGATCACTGTACACCACCTACACGAGACCAGGCCTGGAGTGTGCCGCCCAGCCTGGAGTCCTCGTCACAACAAACACACAAAGAAACCTTAAAATATACAGAGGTTTGCAACGAGGCTCGTCCCAGAATTACTTAGGGATGGGGTATGAAAAAATCATGAAAGAGCGGGACCTTGTGTCGCTAGAAAAAGAAGAGACATAGTTAAGACATAAAATACTTTGGGGATTGATATAGTTGAAAAAAAGGGGAGGCAAGGATGGAAACGAGAAGCAGATTGGCCACAGAGATGTTAAAAGAATTTATATTCAAAATAGAAAACTGGAATGAATTAAATTTAGCAAAGTCGTAGAAGCGAAGTAGACAAGATAGAAAAATAGATCGGGATTCATTGCATTAGACAACCAGCGTCTGAAAAGGCTGCGTCCAGGACTTGTAATTACAGGTATAAATAGGAGAGTTCGCGCGCATGCGCGAGCACACACACACACATATATACACCCTACACCAATATACATAACATGTATAAATTTTGTAGGTATAATAGAAATGAAAATTACTTGCCCGTGCCACCTGTTGGGTGGCTTAATCTTCATCAATCAATCAAGAAATGAACATTCAGGTGCACGTTTGAACACAAGAGGAAGCGGACGTTGGTAACGATGCTATCATACTATCATACGCGAAGGCTTCCTACCCGTCTTGGCCAGTACCGCCTCTAGTCAGGCTGCAGCAAAAAGCTGACCTTGACGAGAGGCGGACAAGCGAGCGTTGTCCGCTGACATTTGGAACTGTTGCTTGTCCTACAGGTATATAAACGCACCACCTCTACCTCTCCTTGCATTAGGTCTCCACAGCTTCTTCATCATGAAGTTTATTGTAAGTTGATGAGCTTCGTGCTGGCTTTGTGACGCCTCTGTGATACTGATTTGGCGTCATTGTAGTGTTAGTTTGGCGGTCGTGTGGCGCTGGTTTGGCGTCGGTGTGACGGTGATGTGGCGTCGGTGTGGCGCTGGGGTGACGCTGGTGTGGAGTTGTCGGGCGCAGGGGTGAAGATGGGATGGCGTTGATACAAAAAAAGACAGTATATTTTAGTTCCACAACGTATTTTTCTTTAAAAATGGTAGAAATATAAAGTAAAGTAAGGTAAGGGGTGGGTTCCTCCTGTGGTGGGTTCCTCCTGTGGTGGGTTCCTCCTGTGGTGGACTCCTCCTGTGGTGGGTTCCTCCTGTGGTGGGTTCCTCCTGTGGTGGGTTCCTAGTTGTGTGGGTTCCTCCGGTAGTGGATTTTCCCGCTTAAGTAACATAATGTATCTTCTGACTGAACCTTAGCCCGCTCGATCTTGGAGTTCGCAAGCAAAAAGTGTCATTACAATGCGTTCGGTCAGACCTGTAAATGACATCGGGATTGAACAGTTCATAGCCAGTACGCTGCCCTGCAGAAGGTTCCAGCGTGGTACGTTGAAGCAGTGATATAACGGTAGGTATCTATAGTGACAGGTTCTTGAACTAGTAAGTTCCAAGTTACCAGAGTGGAAGGCGATTCCAGTAGCCAGTAGATTACAAGTGCGCCAGAGTTCCTCTAATATAATTTTTTCTCTGTGATGACTAAACATTGTGGGTCTACACAGGTGTGCGTGTTGCTCGCCGCTGCCGGGATGGTGTCTGCCCAGTCCGCCAGGGGCGCTACCATCACTCACAGGAGACCATCAGCCAACAACATCCAGGACCCTGCTTCCTTCCCTGCTGATCCCTCACCCGCTGCGACCTTCTCTGCTGATCCCTCTCCCGCTGCGACCTTCTCTGCTGATCCCACACCCGCTGCTGCCTTCCCTGCTGGTGCTAGAAGCGCTGCTCCAGCTGCAGGTGCTGCTGCGGGTGGACTGGCTCCCACCCAGCAACCGAACTATGGACCCAGTTTCTTCGGCCCCGGGCTCAATAACCCCCTGGCCGTGCCCATCAACCCCTTAGTGGCCCAACAAGCACAGAGGATCGCCTCCTTTAACCCCAACATCCGAGTGGTGAGTTCTGACTTTTTTCTATTACTCTTCTCATTGGTCATAATAATACTTGCAATGCCTGTATTTCAGGCAGTGTCTTTATGGTAAGCTGTCGAGTAATATTTCCCGAAACATCATAACAAATGTAAGTGAGAAAAGCTCATATGTGAATACAAATGAAAAGAAATTTGATCTTGCAGCAGGCAGTAAATCTTAATTAAAGATCTTACAGTGTACAGATCTGTGTAAACGTGTATCTCTACATTAAATTGGCCGCCATTATTTTAACTGATACATCTGTTCTTTTAGTTTGTTGATATCGACGGATCAGTGCAGTTCACCGACCAGTTCGGCCGAGAAGTTGAGGAGATTTTGGACGAGTTTGGCCGAGATGTGACTGAACTTCTGGACGTTGAGGAACAACAAGAGCGACTTCTTAATGCCCGCAGGCAGGAACTGGAACGTCGTCAGCAGTTACTCGACCTGCAGCTTCTCCAGAATTTCAACACCAACCCTACAACTTTCGGTCTAAATGGTGGGCTTGGTGGTGGTGTTGCCACCAGAGCCGGTGGTATTGGTGGAAGTGGTATTGGTGGTGGTTTAGCTGCAACAGGTAATCGACGACCAGTTTACACGATCATTGTGTAAGGCCTAGTCAATCACCGCCCGACACGCCCTGCAGCAAGGCCATAGCTATCACCTCAAATAGCTAACATGTCTTTCTTTTGGTCCCATACCAACCTTACTGATACTCCCGACCTTCCTATTGCCTGCTGGTGCAGGTCACGTAATTCTGCCCCTCACTTTATATTCTCACTCCCTTGGTAAATACGTCATTATTCAGTTTACTTGAGTCTGCCTGCAAATTGCTTGCTCCTTTGAATCATTCGATTTACCATATTTCCTGAGCTTTCCTACGTCACCTCATCTAATCCTTACTGCGTCACCTCACCTGATACTTCCTGCGTCACCTCACCTGATACTTCCTGCGTCACCTCACGTTGATGCTTCCTGCGTCACCTCACGTTGATGCTTCCTGCGTCACCTCACGTTGATGCTTCCTGCGTCACCTCACGTTGATGCTTCCTGCGTCACCTCACCTTCCTCCCGTGCCTTCGTCCTGCGTCACCATCACTTTACCCCCATAACCCACAACACCTGCAGTCCTTCCCGTCTAAAATATTTGTATCTACAAAACCCCTGCACACTATCGCCCCTCCCCCAGCACAGTACCCCACCACTGTCATTACTCCCCAGCACGACGCTGCTCAACGAGCAGCATGTCAATGACACATGTCAGTGACAGCGTGTCTAATCAACAATATTATTTTGACATCTTTGTAAATTATTTAATTAAACAGAATACACATACAATAGCGTCTTATATTCCTTTTGTTTCTCTATTGGATAATTTTATTTAACTCGTGTAATGAGTCTTGCACTAGAGCGAGTGGACAATTAACAAGAGTTTAGTGTTGTTAGCTTTCATGAGCGCTTTCACATCTGAGTTACGGAAAATCAAGTCAGCTGAGGTATGGTTATTGTTGCTGGGTTCAATCGATCAAGTTCAATTGGGAAAGAGTGCATGACCATGAGGTGAAAAAGATAGCCACGGAAAAGCAATAGGGAGCATTCGGAGAAAATGTGTCATTTGTCTCTGATTCTTGAGCATTTGCTTGTCCTACCTTCCCTAGTTAACAGTGAACTTTATATATATATATATATATATATATATATATATATATATATATATATATATATATATATATATATATATATATATATATATATATATATATATATATAAATATATATATATCGTACCTAATAGCCAGAACGCACTTCTCAGCCTACTATTCAAGGCCCGATTTATATAATATATATTTTCATGAATTAATGTTTTATATACCTAACCTACCTAACCTAACCTAACCTATATTTTTATGGCTATATAACCTAATATATATAAATATAGGTTAGGTTAGGTTAGGTATATAGGTTATCATATATCTACGTTAATTTAATATATATATATAAATATATTATATCATATATATTGAAATATAGCTATATATATATAAGAATAAATATATATAAAATATATATAATTAGTAAAATATATAGGCAAATCGGGCCTTGCATATATGAGATATGAGTTCTATATACTATACGACATATATATATATATATATATATATATATATATATATATATATATATATATATATATATATATATATATATATATATATCGTACCTATAGCCAGAACTACTTATAGCCTACTATGCAATATTTGCCTAATAGGCCAATATATGAATTAATATATTTTCTCTAATATTTTTCTTATGAAATGATAAAGCTACCCATTTCAATATGTATGAGGTAAATATTTTTTTATTGGATATATAGTATATATAGATATATGACCGAACCTATACCAATATATATAACCTAACCTAACCTATATTATAGGTTAGGTTAGGTTAGGTAGCCGAAAACGTTATATATAGGTTAGGTATCGAAAATACATTAATATATGAAATATATATATATTAGGCATATCAGGCCTTGCATAGTAGGCTAGATATATATATATATATATATATATAATATATCAGTTCTGGCTATAGGTACGACATATATATATATATATATATATATATATATATATATATATATATATATATATATATATATATATATATATATATATATATATATATATATATATATATATATATATTTATACGCCACATAGAATATCGAATAGACATATCCACCTTGGCGTATATACCTAAATTTGTGAGGGTACCACTGACTGGTGCCAATGTAGGGGACCCATAGCCTCGGTGAACATCGACTCACATCACTTGGTGTTGCCACGTGAGAATCGCGAACAGCATGCGTTGCAAATTGCGAACAGCACGCGATTTGCTGTTCGAACTCCGAGGCCCTCAAGTCTTACGGAAAGAGAGGCTTGTTTCCACTGTAGGTCATCGAGAGAGGGGTTGAGGGCTTTTTCTAGCATTGATTTCAGTATCCCATGAAGCCCACATCAAAAGGATAGCATCAGCGGCGAATGCAAGGTTGGCAAACATAAGAACTTCCTCCAGAAACTTGTGTAAGGAATCATTCAGAACCTTGTATACCTCATATAATAGACCAATACTAGAATATGCGGCTCCAGAGAGGAGTCCACATCTAGTCAAACACAAAACGAAGTTAGAAAAGGTTTAATTAGAGGCATGCCACCAGGCTAGTCTCCGAGCAGAGAGGAATGAGCTATGAGGAAAGATTATTGGAACTGAACCTCACGATACTGGAAGACAGAAGAGATAGGGGAGACATGATCACTACCTACAAAATTCTCAAAGGAACTGACAGGGTAGATAAAGAAAAACTTTATAACACGGGTGGTACGCGAACAAGGGGACACAGGTGGAAACTGAGTACCCAAATGAGCCACAGGGGGGTTAGAAAGAACTTTTTCAGTGTCAGAGTGGTTAACAAGTGGAATGCATTAGGCAGTGATGTGGTGGAGGCTGACACCATACACAATTTCAAATGTAGATATGATAGAGCCAAATAGGCTCAGGAACCTGTACACCAGTTGATTGACGGTTGAGAGGCGGGACCAAAGAGCTAGAGCTCAACCCCCGCAAGCACAACTAGGTGAGTAACTAGGTAAGTACACACTAAACAGATGCGAAACAGGCGGAAACAGATGGGCAGAGTTTTTTTCACCCTGAATGCCCCTGTTACCTAGCAGTAAATAGGTACCATGGAGTTAGACAACTGTTACGGGCTGCCTCCTGTGTGTGTGTGTGAAGAAAAAAAAAATAGTTAGTAGTTAGTAACAGTTGATTGACAGTTGAGAGGCGGGTCGAAAGAGCAGAGCTCAACCCCCGCAAGCATAATACATGCATACAATACATGTATGGTGAATACAACTAGGTGAATACTAAGGGAGAATGCCTGTTTCTGTCTATCCAAAGTTGGAGGCCCCGACGTTGGGGGCTCAACTTACTTTGCAGAGTGAATGGTTTGAGGTACTAGACGGACAGCCTGTAACCCAACACTCCCAGCGATTTTTATCAAGTCTAATGGTAAGGGAACAATCAGGAGAAAGCGCCAAGCCATTATGACTCGTGAATCCGGGATGAAATCCGGATTGCGATGTCCGTAGAGCGTGAAGTTTGATCGCACAATTATCTTAATATTTTCTGAGAGGGGAAGAGGGGGGAAAAGCGGAGATGGAGGTTGGAGAGTGGCGAAGGAGCTTTCTTAACAATACACTTTCTGAGAAAAGAGACGGGGAAATGGGGGGAGGTGGTGAGGACCAAGGGGATGGGGAGAGGGGAGAAAGCGTGGACGAAGGCAGGGGGGATCATTGGCATGTGGATGAGGAGGTCAAGGAGAAAATGGGAGGAGAGATAGACTACCCCGGGCACCGCCGGGTACCACCCCTAGTATACTATTAGAGAATGTTTGCTAGTCTGTCCAAATTTGGAGGCCAGAAGCTTGGGACTAGCATCACCCAAATTTGCAAGGGGAATGGTCTGGGGAACAGTATGGACATAGGCTGGTCCGGGTACGCCTACTTTAAGTGATTTAAGAAATATTAGCAATCATGAACAACCCTAGGTCATTTTCACTGAGTCTTTCATGGCGTCACATGTGAAATATGGAGTGTGGTTAACGTGGAGCTATTTGACATAATATAATTCCGCTAAAGAATATATGGTCCTGTATGACTAACCATCCTGCGAGATGGGGATTTTTTGCTTCACGTAGCCAGCTTTTTAACACACTGTACTCCCCTTCATATAGTCTAGGGTAGCCGCGCAAATGCACATGTACCTAAATACGTTAATAATAATAAAAAAGACCCATATAGTTGTTTCAGTGGGTCTTGATAATATATTTTCTGAGAGAATGAGGATAAATAAATGGATAGACAGATGAATATACCTGTCCCCGAGACCAAGGAAAAATCTGAATTACTTATCTCATTTATCACCATAGTGGCACGCAAGAGGAGCCACATACTTTTCGGCCGTGCAATAATATCAGCAGATACCGGGACGTTGGCAAGTGCCACCGCTCACCGCACGCTAGGCTATTTAAGCCTCTCGGGGAGTGTGCAACACTTGCTGGTGCAGATCTGACAACACGTAAATGTATCCTGTATCCTGCAGAACCTTTCGCACTCTATATCGATATGAAAACTGTATTTGACAATTTAAAAGAATTTAGAAATAACTATTACTAATGATCATGAAAAAATATAAATGTTTTGTCTGGCCCGTATGGGGATCGAACCCACGACATCCGCGTTATTAGCACGGCGCTCTAACCAACTGAGCTAACAGGCCATGACTAATGAGTTTGTAGTTACATGAATAAATTGTCGTTATTTGATTTGATGTTGATAATTCCTTTTTTGGAATAAATTTAGTCAGGTTTGAGAAAGAATATAAGGTGAGAACCAATGAGGAACGAAAAATGAAATTTGTCATTGTATTAATCATTCCTTAGGGGAAAATGCTAAGCCAGTATGACAATATAACAACACATGGAAGAGTATATTAAGTGAGGACAGATTCGATAGGATATGAGGACAAGTGAAGAGATAATTCCTAACTACTAATTGGACTGTTCGGTACAACGAACCTAACTCCATGTAGGGTCAGTGTTCGATCCACGATGGTCGAAGTGGTGGGACACTATTCCTTCACTCCGTTCTATCCTGTCCTGATCTCACACCCTTCCATGCGCTATAATCCTACTGGTTTAGAGCTTTCTCCTGATGATTACCTATCTACTTTTTTTTATTTTGCCCCGAGGGGCGAGTTTATTGGGCAGCGCCATTCATCCTGTGAGTGGACACACCGCCATAGCAGCATGTACAACACTCCCCAATAGGAAGAAAACCCTCTGGGTTGTTCATCCTGTCACTTGTACCTAGACACAGCTGGGACTTGCTTAACTGTCTCAAGTGAACAGCTTATCAAACAAGAATATTAACATTATCAACCCTAAAAATCTTACGTTATCTTGCGGGTGCAAAATGGGGAAATCCTTTGAGAACAGTATCTATATTTGACAAATAGTATTTTCCTAACTCAAACAATGTGGGGTTTATTATTCTATACATATTTCTAATGACTTTTAGATGTCAACACTCTCTCAGGTAGTGGTCAAGGCGCTGTCCATCACTCCCACCGCAGATTCTACAACTCCTCTGCTCAACTGTTGTTTCCATTCCGAATCTCCATTGATATTTGTATCCAAGACGAATTCTTGCTATTACTGATTCTCTACCGCAGCCACCTCCTCTTCGTCTATAATTATTGGGATTGCCAGCTGCAGC